CATCTTGTTTAACCCTCACAACAGCTTTGCCAAGTATTATCCCCCCACTTTATATTTAGGGAAGCAAGCTCAGAGGGGACTTACCCAGAGTCACTTACCCGGGGAATAATGAAGTCAGGATTTGCTCAATAAAAACAGGCTTTGCAGATGCCGCCACCGCCGCCGGGAGACCTGTACTATCAGCCATGGTCAGCCCCACCATGTTCTTTGACATTACCGTCGATGGTAAGCTGTTGGACTGTGTCTCCTTCGACCTGTTTGCAGACAAGTTTCCAAAGACAGCAGAAAACTTTCATGCTCTGAGCACTGGAGAGAAAAGATTTGGTTATAAGGGTTCCTGCTTTCACAGAATTATTCCAGGGTTTATGTGTCAGGGTGGTGACTTCACATGCCATAACGGCACTGGTGGCAAGTCCATCTATGGGGAGAAATTTGATGGTGAGAACTTCATCCTAAAGCACACAGGTCCTGGTATCTTGTTCATGGCAAATACTGGACCAGACACAAATTGTTCCCAGTTTTCCATCTGCACTGCCAAGACTGAGTGGTTGGATGGCAAGCATGTGGTCTCTGGCAAGGTGAAAGAAGGCGTGAATATTGTGGAGGCCATGGAGTGCTTTGGGTCCAGGAATGGCAAGACCAGCAGGAAGATCACCATTGCTGACTGTGGATAACTCTTAAAGTTTGACTTGTGTTTTAACCACCAGACCATTCCTTCTGTAGCTCAGGAGAGTGCCCTCCACCCCATTTGCTCACAGTATCCTAGAATCTTTGTGCTGTCCCTGCAGTTCCTTTTGGGTTCCATGTTTTTCTTGTTCCCTTCCATGCCTAGCTGGATTGGAGATCTGGGTTAAGTTTATGATTTTGAAGTAAAAACTAAATAACAACAAAAGTATTAAGCCACCTACTCCAAGGCAAGCCTCGTGCTGTGTACTGGCTGTGCAGTTGTGAATATCAGGTCATTGTCTTCAGTAACTTGCAACCATGAGGGTGAGTGTGACAGACAAGCAGGCAGTGATGGGACCGTGTGGTACCTCTTCTGATAGGGAAGAAACTAGTGCTGTGGGAGCACAGAGAAGGGGAACCCATCACAGACAGGAGCAGGAGGTGGGAAGTCAGCAAAAGCTTTCCAGAGAAGGTGATAACCTGTATGAATCTAGAGAAAGAGTACGAGTCAGCCCGGTGATGGAGATGGCCGATAAGCAATTCAGGCAGAGGGCATGGCATTGCAAAGGGCCAGAATTAAGTGAGAGCAACATGCTATGAGAAACTACTGAGAGTGGTTGAATGGCTGGTGTAGGCTGAAAGATGAGACTGAGGAGGAAGGTGGGAGTTGCCTCGTGAAGTCCCTGTGAGCCATGGGGAGGAGTTTAGACTTCATTCTCAGTGAAGAGGAGTCATGGGAGGGCTTTGAGCAGGGGAGTGATGATGTGATCCCATTGGCATTCTCTTGGGCTCAATCTGGCCACAAATTGTAAAGGACCAAGAGTGGAAGTGGCATATCACAGTGGGGGTGATGAGGATATCACAATGGCTTAGTCCAGAGTGGTAGAACCAGGGGAGATAAGTTCAAGGTTCACTTTTCAGGTAGAGTTGACAGTACTTCTCGATGGATTTCAGGAGAGGGAGGAGTCAGGTCATGTCTTTGGACTCCAGCGACCTCTCTGGCCACAAAGCTGCAGTTGAGGGCCTTCTGCAGTCAGCCTTGAGATCTGGAGCATTGGAACCTGCTGGAAAATTAATGTGTTTTTGCTTGCCATTGAACCAATAGGATAGGAGAGAGACAGATGGGAGAATGTGATTATTTGTTTGTTTATATTCATGAACACCGTATACATGTATACACATTATCTTGTGCCCAGCACAGTTTAAGTGCTTTGGAAGTATTTACTTATTTAATTCTTACAACAACTGGTTTTATTATTCCAGTTTTCCAGATGCAGAAACTGAGGCACAGACAGATAAGTAACTTGACCAAGGCCACACAGCTAGTGACAGAGCTGGAATTCAAACTCAGGTGGTCTCACTCCAGAGTTCTGTACTCTCTGTTCTGTGGAGTCACTCAATCATGCATGCAGGCATGCATTCACTGTGTAATTACTGAGGACATAATATGTACTAGGAACAGGAGGTAAAATGATCTACAAAACCAGATCCAGTCTCTGCCCTCATGGAGTTCACAGTCCAGTGGAGGAGGCAGATATTACCCAAGTAATCACACAGACAAATGTATACATGCTAGGAGAGCCTAGAATAGGGGATTTGACATAGCCAGAGAGGTCAAAGAAAGCATCTTTGAGGAAATGATATCTGAGGCAAAATATGAAGGATAAATAAGAGTTCATTAGGCAAAGAAGGGAAGGAACAGTGTTCCAGACAGAGGAACTAGCATGTGCAAGGGCCTCGTGGTGGGAGGAAGCATGATGTATTCGAGGGGCTGGCAGAATGCCAGAGTGGCCAAAGGAGTGAGGAGGCATGTGTGAGGTAAGCCTGGAGCCCTCACGAAGACAAGCTACTTCTAGTTTTACCACTGAATATTTTCAAGCAGGGGGTGCATGACATGTTCACATCTGCATTTTGAACCAATATCTCTGGTCACTTTGGCTTCAACATGAAGGCTGGTTTGGAGCAGGCCAGGATGAAAGCCAGGAAACCAGTTAAGGTAGGGGTAGAGGATGGGAGGATTGCCATAATTCAGGGGACAGATGATGGTGGCTTAGACTGGGGTGGTAACTTTGGGGCTGTGGAGGGATTCAAGAGCTATTGATTTTTGCTTCCTGAAAAGCAGCAGATTCTGGTGATAGATCAAGTGTGAGGATTCAAGAGACAAGAAGGAGATGTCAAGAAAGGCTCCTAGGCTGTCTTGCCCATTCAGATAGATAGATGGTGGTTATATTTTGGAGACCTCAGGAGAGGCCTAGGTTTCATGGAAGAAGATCACACATTCCGTTTTGGGTATGTCAATTTTGAGGTGCATTGAAATAGCTAAGAGTAGAAGTCAAGTAAGCAGCAGGCTACTGAGTTATGTGGACCTAGAGTTTAGAGAAGAGGGCTGGGCTCATTCAGTGGTGTCCTGAAGCAGTTCACACTAGCTCCTGAAAGCCTGTCTGTTGATTAAGTATTCAAGAATTTTGCAAGCTGGTTATCAAACCATTGGTCACTTCAAATTGGGTCATGATGGAAGAGTTTATAGCAAGGAAGGGAGTTGGGAGTTCTCAGCAATAGGTGTGAATGGGATTACAGTGGCAGGCTGTACAGAGTGCCAAGTCGAGGACCAAGCCTTGGTAAATGCTAAGAGGCAGGCAGAGAAAGATGAGCTCACACAGGAGACTGACAGGGAGCAGTTGTCTGGCTCCACTTTCACAACCATCTCATCATTTCCAACTCTGTTACCACTGCCTTTCTTGAAGCCCATATCATCTTATATCTGGACTATCTATTCAGATAGTCTTTACAACTTATCTCCTGGTTTCTCAAGTCTTTTCAAAAGTTCCTTATAGCTTTTCTGCTGGTAACTAGGTAAGTAAAATAATCTGACTGGAGCAGACATCTTATGTAGAAGAGTATGGATTTTAGCATGTTGATGCCTATTCTGTCACTTGCTAGCTGTGTGACCTTGGGCAAGTTCCCTGCTTTCTCTGAACCTCGATTTCTTCATCTGTAAAATGGGACTAGTACTGCCTCCTGGGGCCAGGGCTGTGAGAATCCATGGAGACTACACATGTGATAAAGGGCCCAGCACAGGGCTTGGTCTGCCATTGGCCAGTGGGGAGGTTCCCAAGGATTTTCCCATATGGTAGCTGATTTCCACAGGAAGGCTCACTGAGGACTCTGCAAACCTCCATCCTCAGCTGTGCACCCCCTACTTAGGCACCCCCAGCTTCTCTCAATTCCCTTGTCTCCTGCTCCTGCATCTCTCTTCCCTTCTATTCTGGCAAAATTGAACAGTGGCCCCTTCCTCTGCCCTCCCTGCCTCATGCTCAATGTGTTCACACTCCAGGAGCATGAATAATTCCTGTTCCTCACCAGCCCATCAGGCCTTTCCCTCTCCTTACTCCAGCCGATCCTTGACTCTTGGCTCCTCCTAGAAACTTCCTTGGGTCATGGGCCTCCCTTCCTAACCTCATCCCACGGATGCACTTACCTTTAGTTCCCAGAGCTGGATTGAAAAGACTAGGATGAACTGCATCGAATGTTAAGGAACACAATTCAAGAACAGGCCAGCACTTTTCATGTGCTATACAACAGATTGTGCTGAGGCTGGGGAGTATAGATGCTTGTTGGCAGCAGGGTTGTTTTCCAGATTACTCCCTGATGCTTTGAAGAGGGAAAGGAAGTAAGCTAGGAGACGATGGAATTAGGTATTCATTGAATGTCTCCTGGTGTCTGGCCTCATGCTAGGGTGCTTCATAAATTGTGTCATTCATTGTCACAACAACCTTGTGAGATGGTGATGTTATTCAAGTTGTCTGTAGTGTCCCTGCTTCTCTGTGAGCTCTGTGAGGATATGGGACACACTGTCTTCAACTCGACTCTGCATCTGGCAATCTGGATGGAGTTGGAGACCATTATTCTAAGTGAAGTGACTCAGGAATGGAAAATCAAACATCATATATTCTCACTCATAAGTGGAAGCTAAGCTATGAGGATGCAAAGGCATAAGAACAACACAGTGGACTTTGGGGGATTCAGGAGAAAGGGTGAGAGATGGATGAGGGATAAAAGACTACATATTGGGTACGGTATACACTGCTCTGGTGATGGGTGCACCAACATCTCAGAAATCGCCACTAAAGAACTTATTCATGTAACCAAACACCACCTGTTCCCCAAAAACCTATGGAAATTTAAAAAAAGAAAGAAAATGGCCAATAAATAAAAAAAATAAAAGAGACCCAAGAGAGAAAAATGAAATAAAGTAACAGGTGTCAACACACCTAAAAAGAAGAAGAACAACAACGACAACATGGAGTCTGTGCTCAATAAATAGCAGTAGAATTGAATTGCTGACACTGTTGTGTTGAGGCAGTTTGGCCCAAGCAAAGAAGCCCAGGATTTGGAGTCTTTGCCTGTGTGGCTTTGGGCAAGCTATTTCATTTTTCTGAGCCTCAGTTTCTTTATGTGGAAAATGGGAATGGTGACACCTACATCCCTAAGGTTGTGAGCATGTGCAAGTGCTTTGGTAAACTTCATCTGCTGCCCAAATTGGTGTATGTGTGCGCGGGGCATCACCTGCTGTATAAGCTAGGCTTTTAGTTGTTCAACTGTCATCTAGGTCTGTAGTTCTATAATGCAAATCAGCGCTCATCCTTCATAAAGTTTTTATGCTTCTGAGTTAAAAAATGATGATGTCGGCCAGGCGGGGTTGCTCACACCTGTAATCTCAGCACTTTGGGAGGCCGAGGTCGGCAGAGCACGAAGTCAGGAGTTCAAGACCAGCCTGGCCAATGTGGTGAAACCCCATCTCTACTAAAAACACAAAAATTAGCCAGGCGTGGTGGCACACGCCTGTAGTCCCAGCTACTCAGGAGGCTGAGGCAGAAGAATTGCTTGAAACTGGGAGGCGGTGGTTGCAATGAGCCGAGATTGCGCCATGGCACTCCAGCCTGGGTGACCAGAGTGAGACTCTGTCTCAAAAAAAAGAAATGATATAGTTTTATTGTTGTTGTTTTGT